TTTTTAGGTTTTGTTCTGTTTGCTAGTGAAAGGTCTGATGATCTGTTGTTGAACTATCTGGTGATCTGGTGTTCTGTGGCTGGTTAGTCTTGTTTGAACTATCTTTTAGTCTATTTGGCTTGCTGATCTGTTCGTCTGCTATCAGTCCTTGTGTTGGTCTTGGTGCTAATCTGTTGTTGGTCTTGTGTTTGAAGTCACATATCTTCTTCATGTTATCTGTGCTCTTTAATCGATGATTGAGTATCGAATCAGCACAATAGTTCTAAAATTATAAATTATACTCTATCCAACAAAAGCCTTAAAATGAATCACAACAATACTTTTAGTATTTAATATTTTAATAAATATTATTAACTTTTCTCATGCAAATTTCCTATTTGTGCCAAGAAAGCATTAGTGAATCAACCAATAATCTTTCCACCATACGAATGGCTAGAGTTTATCCATCTATTTTCTCAAAAACCAAACAAACCAGTAGTTTTAATATTATAAGATATTAACACTTTTTATTTTGATGATTGTTTAATAGCACTTACAAAAATTAAAGTTAAAATAAAGTTGTCCAACCAATCAGAGACTAGTAGTCCCTTCCAGATTGACCCCATATACCTAATTAGGAGGTAAACATGTCAATTTCAATGAACATAAAAATACAAAATCAATACGAAATTAAATGATTAATATATAGTGAAAAGAAAACTAGATTTTAATATTGATCATGTGGCTTGGAAGAGACATGATTGTTAGGGTTTCTTCTAAAAAAACCCAAAAGGAAGAAAATTAGACATTCATGTTTGAGAAAATTATGATCAAGAATGTCTTCCAACCTGTTATAACATGAAAAACATATCAAGAGAAAACAATATACCGAGCATATATTATGTGTACCTATGTGCATATATACATGTATGATTAAATGCATAGTGTATGCAAAGCTACTTAATTAATGCATTTTCTTCTTTCTTCCTCTTCTTCTTCTTTTTCTTTTTTTTTTTATTTATTTTTTATAATCTTTTCCTGTCATCAAAATGAACTAGTGCATATTTAGTAGGTTAATTTGTAGGCAAGTAAGTGAAACTGATAGTCATCTCTCAATCACTCTCTCTCTGCTATCCATTCAGTATGCATATTTAGTATCCTTTTTTTTAAAAATTTTAATTTAATTTTTTTTATAGATTTTTTACACAGGTATTGTGTTCTTTGTTTACCATGTTGTGACTATCATTCATAGATAAATAGACTTTTAATTTAAAAATGTAGTAGTTGTTATTTTAAATCCTTCATACTGAAGTTGTACAGAGATACTAACAAAAATACTTTTCTTTGTTCCCTTTCAGATTCCCAATAAAACTATAGTAACAAACTCTCCTATACTTTTGTAAAATTTGACCTTAAATTTCCTTCATTTGAAATCCATCTATCCAAAAAAAATAAAAATAAAATACTTTTCTTTGTTCCCTTTCAGATTCCCAATAAAACTATAGTAACAAACTCTCCTATACTTTTGTAAAATTTGACCTTAAATTTCCTTCATTTGAAATCCATCTATCCAAAAAGAGTCTAAATTTCTTGTCATTGAAATGATGCAGATTTTTACCCTTTCATTGTGAAGACAGATTTGATTTCTTATGAAGAATTGAACCAAGAATGTGATATGAGATCCACAAAAACTATCCAAGGTGTGGTGAATGCTTTTTTGGGTGAGGTAGTCTTTGATGTTTGTGGTTGGTTCCTCACCAACTCTTGTAGTTGTGCTAGCATATGATTGAGCGGTCTTATCGGTGCCAACCTAGTTGGGATTGATTGGGTTCGCTATGATGCTTTCTGCACTGCTCCTCCTTTCCTTTTTTGATGTAATAGTTTTTCTGTTTCATCAATAAAGTTCATTTTCTTTGCTGTTAAAAAAAAAAAAAAAAAAAACTAAGCTGTTGATTAAAGACTGAAAAAGATCACGAATATGTCTTTAGTTATTGAGTAGGAAAATTAACATGGAAAATAATTGTTACATTAGCAGAAGTTTGTAGCTTTCTAAAAGGTGTCAATTCTCTCTACAATGTTTTATACTGCATCTCCTCTAGATTTAGAGATGGAAGTACAACAATGACATGTGGTGCCAACATTTATACATTTAGATGTAGGCAGATAGACTGACCCAACATAAATGAACAAAAAGTACACACACACACACACACACACATTTTTCGTGATAAAGCAATTTTCCTTCTAACGAACCTAGAGGACCGGGAAGCCAGGTCCTAAAGTCTATATGTCCTTGCTACTGCATTTTAAGGTAAAGGGAGGAAGGCTAGGGCATCTATTTCGTAGGTTCTTTGACACATCCCTTGTCTCTTATTCATGCTGCTCTTTACATGACCTGTTCTAGCTCTATGTTTGGTCTCATCCAGTTTCCTGCTCTTGAAGGTAACAACTAGATGCTTGCGGTCTTATTACAACAAGAAAGGATGCTTAACACTATACTTGGTTTTTTCTTCAAGCGGTTCCAAAATACCTTGAAAGAAGATCTACTCCCAACACCACACACACAGAGCAACGGATATATGAGCTGAATAATTCCAAATCAAGAACAAAGAAACCAAATTTCATAACACTTTTCTATGATCAATATACAAAAAAATTACTCCAAAAAAAAAAAAGAAAAAAAAAGGGATTATAACCAAATCTCAAACTGAGATAGGAGGAGGATCAAATATATAAATGGGATTACTTAAAAAAAATTACATCATTAGAAGGACCATAATTGAAAGCTTGCGCATTGACTGCTCCATTGATCTCTTGTGTGTGTGTGTGTGTGTGTGTGTGTGTGTGTGTGTGTGTGAGAGAGAGAGAGATTGGAATTGGCAAATACAAGGGAGATAGGATGGGGATATATAAGGTTTGTTGCGAGGAGAATTCAGCAACAGATGTGTGTCAGTTTTAAGCATGGGATAAAAAAGGTAAAGAACTATGCATCAGTGCTCTTCTTTTTTGCATGAGTGAGACACCTCAAAAAAATGAAGGTTTTAGGAGTAATGGTGGCATTCAATTTGACAAGTGCCATTAGAATCATATTGTCATTTAAGGGGAAAAAATAAAAAATTTAAAAACCTATAGAAATTGAAAAGAGAAAAATCAAATCTTGCATCTAATTTCAAGAAGCAAATCAAGACAATCTGATTATTCATTCAACTCCCTGAAGCATTTCCTTGTTTATTACGCCCTTCTCCGGCTCTAGGTCTAGATATTCACTATAAATCTTTCGTCGTTTTAACCGTGAGAACATCGTTTGCAAAAGTATCTTCTTAAATTTAGAATTGTTGAGTACACAATTATCGCTCTTTATGACTGCTTTAATAAAAAATTTGCAAAGGTGATATCAAATGCCACAAAAGAAGTTAATAAAATTCTCTCCAAATCTAATTAATTTTAGATAAGATTGTAACACTCAATTGGACACAAGCTTCGAAAAAGTGTATGGTATCATGCACCAGGAAAATTTTAGCGATACTGATTCATAGGTTCTACTACTTTTGAATCGTAATAAAGATCAAATTAGTTCATAATAAAAACACACAAAATCCTCATAACCAAAGTCAGAAAACTATGGTTCACATAACTAGATTGTCAAAAAAGTCTCATTAATTAACAAGAACTACTGAGGATTTCCTTTTAACTGTAATTTAAAACAATGAGAAGAGAAGCAGAGCTGACCATCCAGAGGTTTAAGAAAACAAAAGAGGGTTAAAATAACAAAAGATTGGTATATAGATGTTTTTTGTTATAATTGAAAAAACAGAAAGGGTAAGCTAGAAAACTATTCCTGTGGCTGTGTTATTGTTTATTTGGAAACAGAGGTATGGCAGCATCTTTAATGGCACAACCAGATCTGGTGGAGCTGTGTGAGGTCATCAAACTCAGGGCTGCTGCTCTGAATTAGCTCACTTTATTTTGATTCTTCATGAGGATCCCAGTTCTGATGTTGTGGCCTACTGCTATATGGAGTTAGAAATGTTGCCTACTGTTGTTCTGTTGTCTGCTGCTATGTGTTATAGGGGAGTTTTGAAATGCATGCTACTGTACAGCAGAGGGGTTTTTTGCTGAATTATGTTGGTTCGGTTTTGTTTTGCTGTTGTGGATATTTTAATAGTGCAAGGGGTGATTGTTGCCATTGCTTGATCCTTAGGAATGTGTTTTGTTGTGGATGTGGGTTTTTGCAGTCCTTGGGAGGACTTGTTTAGAGATTGGTTTTTTTCTTGCACAGGAGTTGATAAATTTTGCACCTAAGGTTTATGAAGTGATGTTCTTTCTTTTTCATTAAATTTTGCACCTAAGGTTTATGAAGTGATTTTCATTTATTAAATGTGTTCTTTCTTTTATGAAGTGATGTTCTTTTTCATTAAATTTTGCACCTCGTTGTAATTAAATATCACTGTAACTACATATTTTCAGCGTTCACATTACATAATTGCAAGTTTCTTATTTGGTTTGCATTGATTATAGGATAAATTTGAAATAGGGGATAATTATGAGGACAATGCACTATTCCAGCAAGTTATGGAAAAGAAGTGTAACGTATTACATAAAGATTGGAAGTGCAGAATGAAGAAGAAATGGGAGAAGCTTGTGGATGCGGGAACTAATCCCTATGCTCATCCATACAAAGGAATCAGATTAGATGATTGGAAGTATTTGATTGACGAAGTATGGTTAGATCCTACAAACAAGGTATGTTATGATTTAGTTATATAATAATAATGTATTATTAACAAGCTCTGTGAAATCATATAGAATGAAGGATCAAATTACCTACCTATAAATGCAAAGTATTTGACCACCTTCACAAGGCTTCTTAGTACTGTTATCATTGTTTAACTATATATGTCACAAACCCTTACAATGTGGATTTTTGTATCTAACCATGACCCCAAAAAAATGACTTAGTACTTTAACTATATATGTAACAAACCCATACAATGTGGATTTTTGTAGCGTCGCTACGACGCCGGCAAAAATAATAGAAGCAAGCTACCCTACAATCACACAAGTGGGTCGTGATCTTTTCCAGCAGCGATGAGTATTGCGGTGAGATGTATTTCGTTGATTTTATTAACTTTATCCACACTTATTTAACGAATTAACCATATTAATGAAGAAGTGTTCTTTTTGGTGTTTGGCATATCACAGGTGAAGGAAAATGGTGGATTGTTGCCAGATCTCTGTAATTTCTACAAGGACACTCATCAAAACAAGAAGACAAAATAGTGGATTGATCCTATATGCGGTGATTTACATGCAAGTATTCCAATCATTTGGACACTTATACATGTAACTTTTGTGTTTGTCATATACTAACAATATTTGTATTTTACAATTATAGGAGCAAATGACAAGGGTGTGGGATGAGTCTATCGAGGCTGGAACACCGATGCGGCAAGAGGATATATCAAGAGTGGTTCTTGGTAAGAAGAAGGGATACTTGAGAGGATTTGGGGTTGGACCAAAGCCTTCTTCTTGTGATTCTGGGTTCTTTGCTGCATCACAAGCACGTGACGAGCAACTGAAAAGGCTTACATCCGAGTTGGAGATACTGCACGTGGAGCAGCAGAGCAACCGTGAGGAGCAACACAAAAAAAGAAGAGGAGCAACAAATGAAAGAGGCAGAGAATACAAGACAACGTGAGGAGATGCAGCGGCAGCTTTTTGGACTTCAGAGCATGTTGGCGCAAGTTTTAGAAAATCGCAATCCACCAAATTCTCGACAATAGATAGTCATGGTAATTGGTAAGTGTGTTAAACCATATTTGATTATATTTATGTTCAAAGTAAAAGAAAATAAACGTTTGATGAGAATATCATAGAGAAATGGTTGTCTTTAAACTAATTTTAGTTCAAAATTTAAAAGATGGAATTTACAGTTTAGTTTATGTTGACTAGAAAAGAAACTTTAATGCATTGTAATGTTCCACTGATCCAATGATGAATAGTTAAACCAGAATTTGACTGTTCCATGGAAACCAAAATGTGATAAAAAAAAAAAAAAAAAAAGGCAAAAACGAGCCGGTTGGGGCAAAAAGTTGGAAACAGCCTGGAAACAACCCAAGATCGTAGCGGTCACCTTGGCCTAGTTCAAACAAACTTGTGAAAGCAAGCAACGCTTCGATAGGACGCATGATTAGTTATGTAGGACATAAAAGTGTGACAAAGTAGGCAAAACCGGGGCGTTTGGGGTCCAAAACTGCTCTGAATTAGCTCCTCTCTATTTCTTATTTTTCCTTCTTTTCTCTTCCTTTGGTGGTCTGCATGGTGAAGTATTGCATCAGTCATGAAGGTGGACTGATCTGGATCAATTCTGGTGGTCTACATCAGATATTGGTTAGGTGCACTGTATGTTTGATTGGCAATACTTGTTAGGTGAAGTTCAATGCTTGTTTTTGGGGTCTGCTGTGCTTGCTACTATGTCTGTAAGTTGGCTGCTGATGGAAACTCATTGCCTTAGAGCTGTGTATGCTATGTCTTCATCAGCAGTAGATTGGTGCATTGTGCTCTGTTGCTGTGTGACACTGTGGCAGCAGTGTGGGTCTGCCCCTCTCTATTTTTTCTTTTTTATTCTTTCTTTTCCTTTGGTGGTCTGCATGATCTGTCTGGATGGTCTGCATGATCTGTCTGGCTTCAGTGTGTGCTCCAGATCTGTCTGGCTTTTTTCTGATCTGTTAATCATCCTGATCTATCTGGATGGTCATCCTGATCTGTCTGGATGCTTGTTTTTGGAGTAAACTAGTGGTCTATATTGTGAAATTAGAAATTTTTAAAATTTTTGTTCGAAAAAATGTCGAATTTCACAATTTCTCAAATTGAGAAACTTAAAAAATTACCATGTTTAAGAAACTGCAAAAGTGCACACTTTCTGTATAGAAATTGATAAACTTCTTGATTTTTAAATATTGTGAAATTTCTAAATTTCTAATGCTACACATTAGAAACTCTCCCAAAAATACATTACAAATCATCATCATGGATTGTGGGCCTTATTCAAGATAATATAGTACTGAGAACACCATACACTCTGTTGTATGAAAACTTTAGTGTTTGTATTTATTTTGATGGAATATGATCTTCAGATGGTGATGTCAAATGGCATCGTCACAGAAGAAAGAATACAAATTAATAGTCAACTATATATGGTGGTGACTATCAACACCAATTAATAGTTTGTATTTATATTAATCATCGATGTATCAAATTTATTAGAGAGCTACTATAAATTATTTTTTGTTTTAAACATTTTTTTATATCACTAATCAATACATGCATGATAAATATAATATAATATATTAGTATTTGCTTTTTCCAATACTTATCTCTAAAAAAAAAAAACGATTAGAAATAAAACTACCCAATAGTCACAAACTTAACTTTTTTCCAAGTATAAAAAGTTTCGTTTTAAAAGTAGACTACCTACCTCCCCTTTGAGGAGTAAATTGGTTGGGTTAGTCAATCGAATTATATTCTGGGTAGTCAAGTGCCACACCCCTTATCCGATCTTCCGGCATTGGCATCTCCCTTTGACTCTGCTCCGATATTGCCATGTAATGAAATCTGTTCATCATCCATTTATTCATTATTTATCAATCTAGATATATAGATTAAAAAATATAGATACTTCTTTTTTCTTTTTTCTTTTCCTTTGGTGGTCTGCATGTTGCTGTGTAAAACTGTAGCAGCAGTGTAACACTCGTTTCATCACAACATGATAGATCAGGAGCCTTCAGAAGCCTTGGCAATACTGATTTCATCAGAAGGCTTCTGAAAAGCTGTTTTATCACATAGCAGCACACACAGCTGGGGTACTGATTGTGGTTGGTTCCGGATTGAAATTTAATTCACATGAAAGGTTCATTGAGGAAGATAGGAGTTATTGACAATATGGATCAATTTCAATTGCCATGTTGGTTTCTGTTGTGTGGCACTATATTGGATCTGGAATGGTGGCTGATCCAATTTATTCTATAGACATAAGAATGCTATTGTTTTATTTACAATTTGATAATGATAGTCATTTAATTTGCTAATGTGACCTTTGCTTTTCATGGACATTTTTCATTATTTGTCCAATTTTACCTGACATTATTTCTCTTTTTTTTTTTGGTACAGATGGATGAACTCGTGCACAAAGCTAAATTGTACAGGACAAATTGGCACTTTTTGTATTTTTGGAAGGATTATATATTTTTGTATAGATGTATATGGAAAATATTAGGGTAGACTAGTAGTTATATTTTTGGATACACTACTAGTTATATTTTTGGATGGGTGTGTATAGAAAATATTTGGTAGACTACTAGTTATATTTTTGGGTTGATGTACATGGATAAAAATTTAAAACATAATAACAAGTACTTGTTATGTTTTAAATTTTTATGCTAGATGAAATATGTAGTTTGGAATTATTTGTGGATGTAAACTTATAATAGTTGTTGACTTTAATTAAACAGGTTCATAAATGGTTGATATATATATTTTGTTGAATGTTGATGATTCAATTTATTTGTTGGTTTGAATGATTTTTGCAAATTACAGATTATATTGAATAAATTGGATGGATTATTATAAATTACAGGTTTATTTTGTTGGATGTTGGTGACCAAAATTTGGTTTTGTTTTTATAGTTTTGGCGACCAATTGATTAGTCGGGAAAGATAAGTTATACTTTTGCCGACTAAATAAAGTAGTCGGTGTATCACCAAGCACATTTAGCGACTAAATAATTAGTCGTTAAAATTATTAATTTTGGCAACCAAAGGATTTGGTCGCGAATAGGTCTATTGCCGACTAAAAGTTTTAGTTGTGCAAACATTTCTTTTGGCAACAAACATGTTTGGTCGTGGAATGTGACAATTGGCGACCAAACTAAGAGGTCGCAGAATGTCACAATTGGCAACCAAACTAAGAGGTCGCAGAATATCACAATTGGCGACCAAAATATTTTGTCGTGAAATGTCACAATTAGTGACCAAAAATTTTGGTCGTTGAATGTGATAATTGGCGACCAAATTTGTTGGTCGTGGAATGTGACAATTGGCGACTAAGATATTTGGTCGGAAAAAGGTGACTTTTCGCGACCAAAATGGTTTAGCGACAAAATGGATTAGTTGCAGTAATGATATATTTAGCGACCAAAAATTTAGTCGGCAAATCCAACTTTTCCCGACCAACCAAAATTTTGGTTGCGAATTACATTTGCCGACCCTCAATTGGCGACCAAAGTAGCGACCAAAAAAATTGGTCGCAGATAAATTTTGCCAACTAAAAATGGGCTTTTAGCGACCAATTTTTTTGTTGCCAAAAGTGTTAATTCTTGTAGTGAGGGTCCAAATGAATAACCTAGCTAATTAATTACCTAATCAACTAACTATTACAAACCCAAATGAATAAATTAGGTAAGCTACTTAACTAATTATTACAACAACAAATTAACTAATTATTCTAGCTAATTAAATAAGTACAACACATAACTATTCTAACTAATTAGTTACAAGCCCTCTACTCCAAGCATAATTACAACATCATCTTGACGAATTCTGAGAATCGAGGGATGCGGATTTCCACCCGATAATGCTCTCCATCTTGCTACCGGAGTGCCTCTATTGCACAGTCACAGTTGGAAAAATGCACTATTTTTCACCTCAGCTCCTGCTCTGCTCTGCTCGAAAAAGGGCACTGCTTGCCTAGAAAAAGTGGCCTGCAACCCAGAAGTAGTGGCCGGCAAGCCACTAATAGTGGGTTACCATCCAAAAAAAGTGGTCTGCCGGCCACTAATGTTAGTTCTGTCCTGAAGCAACAGAGGACAAACAGAGCAAAAATCAGAGTATTCTCAAGGGATGTTTATCCACCCTGTTTCTCCTTATCATCAAACAGGTCAAATGAGGAGTAGGCTTGATTCACTAATCATCAATCGACGCAATATCACTACATGATGACTTATGAATCAAGGGACATAATTCAATAAATACACAGTTTAAAGACTAACAAAACCTCCTCCCTATCATGGATTGATCAAGGGAAGTGGTTGACATTGATTCTTGAACCGTTTGCATCACTAGCAAGTATAAAACGACTCAAGACTCAGTGGGTTCAATTAACGTCCAATTGAACCCAAGTTGATTTTATTATCTTGGATCAGTTTTAGTCCCAATTTTATTACTTCATTTTAATTACCATACATTCATTAATTCATTGAGTCTAAAAATGAGCTTTAAGTCCACTAATGGAGAAAAGTACCAAACCAAATGTTGTTTTAGACATGAGAGAAGTGTCATGTCGTTGGTAATAAACCCTCAAAGGGATTAAACAATTAAGCACAATACCTCTATCTCAAGCTTAAACAAGCAAGTAGTTTAAAACAACTTTCAAAGCAAAAAAAAAAAAGCC